CAAAAAGCGCAGCCAACAAGTCGAATCGCGTATTGTCAACGCAGTTCTGCGGCGCCAGCCGCGAGTTTTTGGCTTGCGGTAGGCTGAGTGGGTGGTGTTTGCGCCACTGCCATCATTATCAGCAAATAATCAGCGTGATGCTGTTGTTGCTGTGGCAACAAGCACAACGCCAAATGTTGCGTAATGCATGCAACCCAACTGCAGATAGCGTTGTGGCCGCATACACAGTTCTGTGGCGTCAACAACGCTTTTGACTTCCAGTTGCAGTCGCAGATGAGTTATACAAGAATAAGCATCATTTGCCTTTGCTGTAATGTTGTGGAATGGTTTCTATGGCTGATAACAAACATATGCCACATATTGGTTGATATGAAATACAAGAATCTCTCTCGATTGGACCTCCAAGCACCAGATTCCTCAGAGCGCATTGTATATCATATATATCGAAGGTAGTTAACTAATTTGTTCTGGGCTTTTTACATCATCTACACATATAATCCTCTCGACTCTTTCGGTACCCCAGCCATTTCGGCTTATATATGAGACTCAGTGTAATTAAGTTATACAGCGATTGCTTAAATTAGCTTTTGAGGAGAAACGCCTTTGTTGCTAGTGCTTTTAGTAATGTCGAAGCTAAGCCGACAATATGCCGTCTGCGAGCTGCACAACGCCCCACAGAGCAGTTGTCTTTGCCAGCCTAATCTGCTCATGACCCCCTTCTATTACTGGTCCTTGATGCGCCAAAGAGATAGCAATAGTCACAGACAGGAACTCAGTTGGCTAATAAATAGAAACCCTTTTCGTCTATTGGACAAAAAACAGCCAACGGCTCTTTTTCTTGGCTAAGACCGACACAACTTTTTGCTAATAAAGGTTGCTCTTGTTTTTGAGTGACTACCCAGAGGCGGGCAGCAAGAGGTACAGGGTCTGTTGCTAGGACATTAAATAGTCAGCTCATTGTCGTGCCTGACGTGGCGCGGCGTCAGTTTTAGCTTTTTTCCAAGCTGCAAAGAACACAGAGCACAGACAGAAAAGAGACATGCAATGAATGAAGCCACTTGAAGCAATAACAGTGCACTGTCAGCTAACGGAGCCACAGATACAGATACAGCAACAACTGAAGCTACAGCTATAGATACAGATATCCAGATGCAGATACGTATAAAACATGCAGAAACTGACAGCTCACGACTGCAAAATACTCTGTGCCTAGTTTTGTGTCAGCAGAGCCAGAGAAGCACTGAAGATATTTAGATACAGAAATTTGTTAAATAGGGAGAGACAGAGGGAGGGAGAGAGATAGATGTGGATACAGATACAGATACAGATACAGATACAGATACAGATACAGATACAGATACAGATACAGATACAGATACAGATACAGATACAGATACAGATACAGATACAGATACAGATACAGATACAGATACAGATACAGATACAGATACAGATACAGATACAGATGCAGATACAGACACAGATATAGATACAAACATACATATTATCTTGTCAAACAATCATGTTGGTAAGTGAATATACTCTTTCTAGCAATTTGATGCAGAGTATAACAATCCATAGCATATTGCATTGCGAACTATTCGTAACTGGGGGTCATTCCGCCAGTAGAGGCAATATGAAGACGTATGACAGCTGGGCCAACGCAGGCCTTCGTTTGCTGATGATGATGTGCTAGGAAGAGGGAAAGAGACAGAGGAAGGCAGGATTGGAGAGAGAGGAAGGGAGAAGGGTAGACCCCTGTGACGGGCTGGCTGGCTGGCTGTCATACACTTTTAGCCTTTTGAAGTAATTTGCAGTTGCTATTTTCTGTTTTGTAATTGCTTATTAATGTCATTGTGCTCTCGGGTCTGGACCAGTGAATGGGCACAGGGCTCTGCCATAACTTCACTTGAAAATGTTTTTAACAAATTTATGCTAATGTGATTTTGCAATTAAAATGCTGCACAATGATTCCAACGAACCAGGGACATGAACTATTTGTTGTCGTAGTTGGGGGGAGGGGCATAATGCACAAGTGCCAGGCGATTTATAATGGCTCTGGCCAACATTTATTCACATCCGCATTATGATCGGCGCGCGGCATGAGCTCTTAAATCATTTTACCATATGTACAAGCTCTACAAGTCTATGGGTGTTTCGATATTACATGGCCAGCCCCTGACGTCCCCAGCTATCAATTCATCTCTCTTCAACGCTGATTCAGACGCCAACCCAGTTCCCTTAAAAGAGTCGCCGACAAATGATGATGTAGTTAGTGGCGGTGCTGGGGAGATAGCTCTCTGATGCTCAGACATTGGTTTTAGCATTTGGCATAACGAGCTGTCAGAGATTAGTTGCTTTTCCCATTTGCACCATGGTTGAATTGAGGGCAAATCAAGCGAATAATATGAGGGACTTAACTGTCGATTAAACAAGTTGCTTTTTTATGAATAATCTGTTGAGAATGTGAATTGAATTTAGTGCAGAGAGAGATGTTAAGTAAAGCTGTATAATATTTCAAATATAGAAAGTATTAATATTGATATATTTATATATATCAATTATTTATTTAATAATTTCTAATAATTTATTGAAAAAGGTAATTGAATTGATGATATTGTTATAATATCGTTCGAATAAGCTATAAATAAAAGAAAAAAGATTTTGAAGAATAACTATGATAATCAAATATCTTAATCGTGATCAATTAACTACAATTTGTTTTAGATTCTATTTATTCACTTCATGAAAATATCTCAACTTACTGAGAAATAAAGTAACTCTGAAATTCTTTGCACTTCTTTGCCAATTTTGCCCACTGTAGTATCCCGTCTGATTGGCTGTAGCACGTTTACGTTTCCCATTTGATGTCTCTGTCTGGCCTTTTGATCTTGTTGCACCAGGGCAAAGGCTCTCTTTTTATTTTGTCTTGTCATTTTTAGTGCCTTAATGACTTCTATTGCAGAATATGAGAAATGTTTGCCGGGAACCAGCTCAGCTCGAATTGGGCTGCCCACAGCAGAGCCTAAAAAGAAATCTGTATAGATTTTTGTCTTGTGGCGTTTTATTTATGGAGTCCGCCAGTTAAATATTTAACGATTTGTACTTTATTTATATGTTTGTCATAAATTACTTTAATATTTAAAATGCACATTGCTCTCGTTTGGGCGCACATACGCCCCATGTGGCAGCGGAATCACCATCAGCATCAGCATCAGCAGGCACATCAAGTGGCAGCCATCACATGCAATGTGAGAAATCATGCATAAAAATTTATTATGTTCAAGCGCATGTTGCAACATCATGTTGCATGAGCCTGCGCCCGGCCCTGTGCCTTTGCCATCATAATAATATCAATGGCACAGGCAAAAAAGTTTCTGAACAGAAAAAAGGAATCGAATCATATATGCAAACAGTAAATGAGATTTATAACGAAGTTGCGATACACTTTACAGAATGAAGGTAAAAGAATGCTGCTTTGTAGATGCACCTGTATTTAAAATAATTAATAAAATGTATAAATTATTTGTTTTGAAAAAAAAAAAACATTTTGTGGTTTATAATATATTTAAAAAATGAATACAATTTTTTAAAATACTAATAAACTTTTTTAAGGAATTTTGAAATTTATATTAAGTATGTCAACTCGCTAAGAAAATAAGTTTCGCTTGAATGCTTTGTTTTACAATTTGTTATTAATTTATTGCAGCTTTTGTGCTACCTTTAAATAAAATATAACACAAATAATAATAAAAATTAATAAAAAATAATAAATACAATTTATGTTGGCCTTCTTCGAAGAAAATAATTTTATATTTCAAAAAGTAACTTAGCTTTCAGTTAAATAAATAAAATATGCTATTTTAGTTTTGGCTTAGATATGGTAAAAATATAAAAATATAAATTTACATAAATTGTTATTTAAATGTAAATATTTACTGTGTTCTTATTTTCTATAACATATCTTTTTAATTGACTTTAGATGTCTTCACTAGGTTATATTACATGTATTTATATGGATGTATTTAAATTTACGTCTTGACACGTGTAACACAGCTGAAGTTGTAGCTAAGCTAACCGCCTTTGAGTGCAAGCTCATGCATTTGTTTGCTGCGGCACATTGCAAAGTGCAGCAATGCAGCAACAGCAACAGCAAAAGCAGCAGCAGCAGTGCAGTCGACGTCAGCTGCGACTGCGGCGGCAACATCATTTGAACTGTCATTAAACTTTGACTATCATCCTTTTATTATTTGGAGCTACCGTTGCCTGGCCCATGTTGCAAGCACTGCTGCTGCTGCTGCTGTCTCATTGTTGTTGCTGCCAATTGTTGCAGCATTTTATATATATTTCGTTGTTGCTTTTTTTCTGCATTGCGCCTGCTTTGTTGTCGTTGCTGTTGCTGTTGCTATTGCTTTTGTTGTTGGCATTTTGTTTTGTTTTCTCTAACACGTGAGTTCACCGCAGCGCACGTTGCAAGTTGTTGTTGTTGCTTTGGCCTTTGTGTTGCTGGCAACAAGAGCAAAAGCGCTGCATGGCTTACAATATTTCAGTTATGAAGTGTGTGAGTGTGTGTATATATGCTTATATATATATGTATAAATTTTTTATGCTGTGTTCTCCTCTCTGATGTGTCGTAATAGACGTCCTTTATTATGGCCAGTTGCATTTTGTAATATGCATTTGTCAACACAAAAGACACTGCTGCCCCGCTGCTGTTGGCCAACTTCAATTGCAGGTGAAATGTTGGCTAACGAGCAGTTCAACTCCTAAAAGGCAATACAAACTGTGCAGCTTTGCCGCTTTTGGCCATCTATTTGTCATCAAATGAAATTTATGGTCAAACGCAATGAGACAACGAACTGTTCCCATAGCCAAGTGCCAGAGATCAGAGTAATACTCTGGCTTCTCTTACGATATACTTATGGATCCAAAAAAAAATGTCAAAGGCAATATGAAGATCGGAAGGGATTGGCAATTATTACTTAATGAAATTCCAAATATAATACCTTAGGGCTTATATTTGCCGATTAAGCACACGTTCAACCGTTCACAGATTTCTCTCAAATATATCTGTCAGCATCTTCAATGAAGTCTGCGAAGATTATCTATTAGTCGGGTGGAGTAAGAAATTTTGCAGCTCTTGATGTAATATTTGAGAAGAATCCGTGCGTATCGCCGATTTGGAAAGCAATTTTGATGTAGTAAAGCGATACGGATTTATTCGTGTGCACTGCTGGATTCGGATGAACTAGGCAAGGTCAGATGTGTACGCAAGGAAATGAAGCTGGCCTTGCTTGATTGTGGATCACGCTGAACTCTGCGCTGCAGAAACTCGGCTATGTTTGGATCCGGTGCTGCGTGTTCATCGTATTTCATTTTAACGCCATGTATGGAGTGGCGCTGGAGATAGACCTCCCTTAGTGACTGGTCCGGCAAATGACTTTCGAATGCCGAGGAATCGAAGGCAACGTCAGCTCTATGCTGGATATTCCCGCCGCGCTTAACATACTTTTCCAGCTCCTCTTCCGTCATATTTCTGGTTTTAATAAGCTCTGTAAAGGCAAGCTTAGCCTCTAGCTGCTTGGCTTGCGATCGCTTCAATCGATAGAAGTCCTCACGTTCGAACTCCTCCAGCTCGCTGTTGATATACTTAGCCGTTGCAGTCAGCTGTGGCAACACAACATATTCAAGTGCATTGACGCGCATGTTAGTCTGATGTGAAGCGTGCTTTAGCAGGCGCAACATGTACTCCAGCGATGCGAATTCGACGATCTCATGCAGCGCCATTTGAAAGCTCTTGCGCACCTTCTGCACCTGTTGGCCACCGCAGCTGAGGCCAACCATTGGAAAGGGGGTATTGTCGGTTATCTCTAGGTCAAAATAGTTCAATGTCACGCCCACTATCTTCTGCTCGCGCTTTCTCAAGTAGGTAGATGCCACTCGACTGTTTGTCACAATCAAGGGTTTAAAGTCCGTGCCCAGCAAATTGGCCTTGGTCACTGAAAATATGGCCTTGCGCATTTTATCGTCTAATATGTCCTCCTTGTTGGCCATCTGATTCCTCAGCTCTCGCAGCTTCATATCGATTGCATCCCGCTTGCGCATCAGCAGCCGAATGCCACGCTTTGCTGCCAGAATCTTCTGATTCATGATCACCGCATTGGCACGAGAAGGAAACATCTGAATCTTCGCGTTGGACATCTTGCATAAGGACCAACAATTCTCACTAACGTCTCCCTTTCACTCGGTACTCCTTGCCAAATCCAGCTAAACGACCATCAATGCCTAGCAAATTCTTTAAAATATCTTGATATCTTGACTTAAAAACATTTCGTACTTTATGAAGAAACAAAAAAAAACGTTAAAGTCTATGAGTGCCTTGTGCTCTACCTGAATTTCAGAGCCACAACTTTAACTCCAAACTGGAACTATAGCAGGAAATGTATTTGAGTCGTGTTGAGCACATGGCCGGGACTTGTAAAAATGTTTGCTTTTCAATTTCGAACAACGTCTCTTTCAATATTTTCATTGCATTTCCGTTATAAAAGTATTTGCCTTAGTGCAGCTTGGGCTTGTTATGATTTCAACTTGTTGCACGTGAAATGCATAACATAATTTTTATGCTGCCTGCAGCCGTGGCAGCGACTGGCTCTTTGGCCCTTGAATATAATCCAGGCACGTAAAGCCCGCAGCCTTGTTCTCAGTCTCTGTTCCCTAGATTCAAGTTCCAGATACGGAAGTTGTGCCTCGACAGTAGGAATTTCTTAAAGTGCAAGTGCCTCAATTGTGGCTTTAATTGTAACTTGCTGAAGCTGTCAAGAGGATAGGGGCGTGGCACGTCGTAGCTTCGCTATGTACATGCAGCTCGAACATATGGCAAAATTCAATTGATTTTGCCTGTGCCTTTTCCGACAGGCAATATTCTGCGCAGTCAACAATAATTTTTTATGATTTGCATTAATATCGCCCGGAACTTGACATATATGTCATTTACTTGCTGGCAATCGAATTGAATTGCCCACGCAGCAACCAGGTAACTGCTCTCTGGACCAACTCGTTCATGGAGCTGAAAGCTAGAAACAATTTGTTCATCTATCTCAGCTGCCAGCTAAATACCCTAACAAAATCGAAGTATATAGAGAGATGACTTTAATACTTTTTTCATTCATCTAACTAGTCACAGTATTTAAAAAATTGTTGATATTGATTGATGTATTACAAGGTTTTTATAGTGCATAAACATATCACGATCATATATACCCCATGCTGGGTAAGTGCATACGGGCGGAACAAAGTTCAATCATTTTTACGATTTATAATTCAATTTTTTGCATCACCTAATTAAAACTCGCTCAGTTGGCCTGACAAGCAGCCAGAGGGGTTGTGGGAGGCGGGGCAAATTAACTTGGCCCACACAGCTGACAATATCCGGTTTAATGCTAACAAATATAAAATTGAAACCGTGGAAAAAGGCAGAAAAAAAGTGCGACAAACGAGCGTGAAATTTGCTTGCAGCTATTAAACGAAACTTGGGCAAAAATATAAAAAAAAACTGAAAAATAAAAGGACGCTCGAATTGGTGAACGAATCGAATTTCAATCAATTAATAAATGTGAAAATTAAATAATTGGCGTCACTCTTGTGGCAAAAGCCAATTTAAGAGGCGACATTCCTACGATATCATTTTAAATATTCAATTAATAAAAGCTTCAAAGGCTAACGTTGCCCAGCAACTTCAAATGGCCATATTCATATAAATAAATGGGATAAGTATATATGTATATATATGTATAAAAAAAAAAATATATATATATATATATATATATATATATATATATATATATATATATATATATATATATATATATATATATAAATATATTTAAAAGAACACTTGAATAAAGCAATATAAAGAGTCAGATGACAAAACTTATATTTCAAATGTTTGAAACAATACTATAATGGAAGGTCCTTGTTAATAATAGTTCTAGAGACACTGAACTTGCAAAACTAAGTGATCTTAGCTCTTAAATTATGATAAATGTTTTTTCTAGTTGCATAAATTTTCCAATTTTGTCTATAGGAAGGATAATATAAAACTTATTTTCTCCTGTCTACTCCTATGTGATGCTGGTGTTTACGAATATATCGTGTTTTTCTTTTAGAGCTGCATAAGCTTAAATAATAAATTGAAATCTATTTTATATTTCAATGAAACGGAATGAATGAGATTGCATAGTAAATCTTATGACATTTATTTTTAATACAAAAGTCAGTTCAAAAGAACTATTTATAAATTGCGAACTTTGTGAGTAGAGTTTAATGCTCTTTCATGCTGTTTATGGGCAGTTTATTAGTGCTCGAGTGGAATCACCTGCATCTCTGCACCTCTGGTTGATTGTTCTACTGTAAAGAGCTAAAAGTAACTCCTTTTTTTGCAATATTTAAATTTCGTATCGTGCGTTGGGCTTGGGTCTTTAAGAGTTGTCGCTTACGAAATCAACTTCAAATCACGACTGGGCAAAAATACATGCAGAATCTACTGTGAATGTGGCTATATTTATGCCGGCAGCCGGCATAGTACGACTGCAACAACAAATGCCAGACAGACACACGGACAGACATAGAGACAGACAGATAGGCAGACAACAGCAACTGCAGTTCCCACCAAGTGGTGCTTAGTGGTGGTGGTGGTGCTGCTGCTGGCGCTGGAGCTGGAGCTGCTGGTGGTAGCTAAACAAAACGTGTGCAACAAACTAAGCCATTTTTGTCGCCGCCCGTCTAAATACCAAACTTGGCTTACACAGCAGCGCCCAGCAGCAGCAGCAGCAGCAGCAGCAGCAACAACAAAGTGAAAATGTCCTGCGCAGCAGTCGAAAAGTTATAGAAGCAACAAAAAAAGGCCAAATCCAAATAAATCATGATTCATGACCAAAAGCCACAGAAATGCCAAAAATAAAAGCAAAAATTGCATAAAACTTGGCAAAAAATAATAAAAAAATGCAAAAAGAGAAGTGGAAGAAAGAGTTTTAAATGGAGGAGGCGACGACACAAACTGTTCGTGATTCGAGCCTCTGACTTTTGCCGAAGCTGCGAGCGCTACGAAAATAATGCGACATATTTTCGAAATACAAAAAAACAAAAAAATGAAAAACGAAACAAGAAATAAATAAAAGCAACTGAATACAAAAATTGTGACAGAGTTAACTTCGAGAATCGTTAGGTTTGTATTGGAATCAAGAGCTGCTGGCTTTGCCCTTGGCCTTTTGTTTTTGTGCTTCAGTCATGTTGGCCATGTTTACAAAATGTGCCGTGTGCTAAGCATTTTTATCACGCAGAACTCCCCCCTTCTATGCAACAAGCCCAAACAGGCTCCAGTTAACATTTTTTGTTTCGGTTTTTGTTTTTTCTTTTGTTTTGTGTCGTTGTTGTCGTCGACAAAGTTCTTCATAAGAAATCATGTTGTCTGACGTCGGCCGCTGGTCCCTCGCTCTGTGCCTCTTAAACGATCGTTTTGTCATAATGCGACATTTAAGGAATCTTTATATGAATTCACTTAACGATCTGACGATCTGACGCGCAGCTCCTCTGCTGGCTACTTTCGAGGTGTGGAATTGTAATTACGTGATTGTACCATGGTGAGATTCTTATTGGTTTTAATAGAAAAAACTTTGTTTTTCATATGGGAAACTGAAAACATAAATATATTATCTTTTTTGACAAATTTCACTGGTTTTATTAAATTCGTGAGTGGAGTGATTAGCATTTAAAAATTAAAATAAAATTAATTTTGATACGCAAACAGTTTAAGAATTAGATAAAATTAACTTTTACTATTTTATTTTTTAGATATTTATTTGATTTAATGCTGTTTTAAATATTATCATAATCATTATCATAGTATATATTTATATAATTAATTGTTTTGTTTTTATTTAATAATTATTTTAAGCAAAAAAAAGTTTTATGAAAAATAAGTAAAATAATTATACTTTTTTCAATTATATAAATTAATAAAATATATATAATACTTAAATTATATATTTTTTTAATAATATATACTCTTGCTCTGTGTTAATTATTATCAAATTTTTAATAACGATTATTATTATATTATATTGTGATAATATTTATAATAAAATAATATTATTCTTAATATTTGATTTGTTATTAAATATAATTTAGTTTTTGTTAATATTATTTCCTCTGATATAAATTCTCAACTTTAGTGCCTGCTGATTCACAGCCATCATTTGGCAAAATAACTATGCTCTCGTTTCGTTCTCCCAATACCCATTATTGGAACTCACATAAAAAGCCAAGCAGCGTCCCACTGTGTCGCAGATTCATTGTCGGACGCATTAAAATGGCTGCGGCAACAATGCGAGCCACATTAACAAGCAAAGGGAACATCAACAACTTACAACTTTGTCAGGGCTACAACTGCAATGAGGTTGACGTTGAGTATGATGACGATTCTTGCTGTTGCCGCTGTCTTGGCTGCGCAGCTGCCTCTTCCCCTCCACACGCTCTACTCGCAGTCTTGTGGACAGGACTGTCCTTTGGCTACCTTGGGCAGACAATTAACTTGCTCGCTGACTTTTAAAAAGGCATTGGCTGACATTTTTACGCGTGTACATGATTTTATTTGCCTGGCTGTTCGCTCTGGGTAATTATGGCACGTTAAAGTGTTAATGTGCCACGTTAAGGGCCAGAATCTGTTTCGCTCTCCCTCAATGTTCGGTTCATTGGGTGCAGCTGGTGCAAGCTTTGTTTAGGATTTGCTTGTGATAAAGCCATTTGTGGTTAAAATATACGACTCGAACCATGTGGCTAGGCCAGTTGGCTAACTGGTTGACACTCATATTTTAACAGTTTTTAGTAATATGACCAATTAGCTGACCGTTGTCAACGAGCTGTAGTCAGCCAGTCACGTTTATTTGCCTTTGACAAACTGAGAAACTGGTTTCAATCGAATCCAACTGTAACTAACCGTACGGCTAGGTCAGGCTTCCCAGAGGAGCTCACCTGGACTGTCACCTGCTCCGCATCCATTGACGTTATTGATTCGCAGCCCACAATTTGCCGCTGCCACCCAATGGCCATAAGTTATTATGTCTGGCTGAACTGGTTCTCTGGCTGGCTATAGTCATGGACATGTATAGATTGCCATCGCCTAGTGCCTATTGCCTATTGCCTATTGCCAATTCCATTTTTGCCTATGCCATGTGTGCCGCCTGTTTCACTGCCTCGATACCTCATCCTCATCCTTATGCTCAGACTCAGCCTCATCCGCCTCTTAAGGCGTTCGAGAAAATTGCATGACAAATAAGTTTTGTGTGTCGCAGACAGTTGACAT